CCCCAAAACCCCAAAACCCCTATTTCAATTCAGCTAGCTATTTTAATAATTTGTGAGTTTACTAATATATTTATAAAAATAAAATTAGTTTTACAGTAGCTTAAGAAATTAATTAAGATACAAAAATAAACGCGCATATTAAAATGAACTCATTCTGTTACACAATAATTCTCAATTAATTCAGCATCATTGTTCTATATCAGCAATTTGGCTGTACAAAGCGAGTCGTCTTAAAATCTCCTTATTTTCTGTATGGAAGGAATGCGGTACTACTTTCGATGCAAAATAAGTATTTCTTTGCTCATCATTTTGATTACTTATTTATTTGGCTTTCACTAGTATCTGATAATATCTAAACTGAGCATCAAAGAAAATTTCATTCAGCTAGCTTTGATTCTGCTCATCTTTAAGCTTCTTAATCTACTCAGCACCAACTTACATAATTTAGATCCCTTGCTCTCTGTAGAAGTTAACAAAGATTGACTCAGATTAGTCTTAAATCTTTGCCAATACCATATATGTTGGTACACAGTTATCATAGGATTTGCAGCAACTCTCACATCTGTAGACGTTCTACTCTTCTATTACCTTTTTGCGGCAGTTTTCTTCTGGGCAAGCCAAATAGTATATTTTATCATCATTTTTAATGTAGGAGATATGGCAGTTTATCCAAAAGAATCCTTATTACTATCCTCCAGCTAGATAGCTTGGCTTCATTTAATTAGCTTAATTTAGGTGATCTATTACCTCAGAGATCATGCGAAAGTTATCATTTTATCTTTAATTTGAATTATTTTCCTTCTCAATTTTTGTTGTGATGTTTTTAATTATCTCTTTGTTCAGTAAATTTCGGTACCATTCATTCAATTAGTCAGCTCGAGGATGGTCAATATCTAGTATAGCGATAGCTTCCTCATTCAGAGTTAGCTGCTTATAATTAAAATCAACAACCTTAGCACCTTTGATGGTTATGATTTAGCCAACACTGTCTTCCGTAATCATATTATACACTCTTTAATTGTCTGACCAAATACAAATTTGGACGCTAAGCTTTGATTCATCCGCTATTGTTATCATTTTCTTAGTTTTTTAAAGACCAGATTTGGTTTATATATCTACTCCTTAACTCACTTAATGAATGACTGCAATCACATCCACTGTCTTATTTCTATCAATATTGACAATATCCTTGACGCTAATGAAGTTGAAAGCCTGTTCCTGAATTGATTGATCATCAGGAACTTCAACAATATCAGCGTTTTTATCAAACACTAAACAGAAGTCGTTCTTGATTTGTGTGAATTTTTAGTTGGCAATTTTCACTGAGCCATTTGAGAATAAATAAATCTATAGAAAATATTAATTAGATGTTCCAGTTTTACATTTCCTTCTTTGATTATTTGATCATATCTATCTGCAGAATCTTTAAAGAAAGTAGCCTGAATTTGAGTTCCAAAGCAGTCCATTAACTCAATATTCAAAAGTGAGCCTTCAGATCTTGAGTTTTTCCAGATCTTCTTGTCTTGCTTCTTTGTCACCCTAGCTTTGATTCTCCAGTCATAATTGAAAGAAGATAGCGCCTTGATTGGTGTGTATATACTAAACTGTTAATTTCCTCCGTATTAGTCCCCTCCACGGTAATCTGGATTATTGTTATTAAAGTTTTACTAGTTATTACTGCCATAGCATTATTGCTAGTTTTAATTGTTATTGTTGTAATTATTGTAGTTTTATTATGAATCTTGATTATTTCTTTGACTATGGTTGAGACTTTTATTTGAATTCTCACCTTCTTCAGTATTTTAAGACATCGACACTTCACCTTCTCTCTCCTCTATGCCTGGATAGTTTTTTTTAATTATGTCTTTTGGAATACTGATATCAATAGAGGAGGGATCAACTTGAAAACCATCTTTGATATTCAAATCTACATCTTTGGGTATACCAATTTTGGTCTTCATTTCTTTGTATAGTACCTTAGGCGGCTTTGTCAGAACAATTATACTATAGGTTTAACGAATCACTTTCAAAGACTTACTTTTTATTGCTGACCATTTGCTTGATATAAGTTGAGATCTGAATAATGCAATAATTCTCAAGCATATCTTCCTAAATACTAAATTTAAGTGAAATGATATGAGAAAATAATAAAAAAAGTATTGAATATTAACCATTATTACCATTTTAGAGAACAGCTGATTATTGACTAGAGTCATTACTTATGATACCCCATCTGACATAAAGAACTTTAATTTGACTGCTTTTAATTTATCTTTTTTTTGCTTTTCAGTCATTTCACCCACCTACACATTTGTTCCTTCTCATTCTTTTCTCTCTTTTTCGACATCTTTGGGTGACAGCACCTGAACCACAAAGGAATACTTGTTGGCTTTGACATCGGACTCATTCTCAATCATTTCTCTGATACAATTTTTGCTCAGATGCGTAATAATGGCATCTTGCGACTACTGAGATTGCATATTTATACGGAAAATACTGAAATTACAAAATAACTTGAAATCTATTATCGGTTAAAATTAATTGCTTCCGCTTTTTAATTACACACACAATTTAATTTCCCTCCCATTTTAAAAAAATTTACATACCGGGGTTTTGGGGTTTTGGGGTTTTGGGG